GGCCAACTTTCGCCAAGGTTGACTGAAGTCGACGGAACCAGACGGAGATGGCCGAAGGCGTGGGCTCAGGAAAAAAAAATCAAAAAAGAGAAGAGTGTAGCGTTCGTGTAGTATAGGAATAATCCTACACCGTATCGGTTGACTGTGCGGCTGGTCGCGGAAGCGTACGGGCAACCGTACTTGGCGACCGGAACGTGAGACGATAGTCTCGTTCGCGTCGCGTGGGCCTGCAATCTCATCCGAAGTCAAAGGCGGCGTGGTCTGCTGATATGGACGTGAGACTGTTGTCTCGTCCGTAGACGGTGCAGATGACGCGTGCTGTTGACCGAGGACGTGAGAATGAGGTCTTGAACGTATCTAGCGTGGGATCTGAAGAAGATTTAAGGATCCCGCTAGGTTTGATAGATCTGGCATTGAATCTCAGGGTATCAGATAGGGCACTGTCATCGACGTGTGCTGATTTGAGACGATCAATGCTGACGATCTCGACGCGTCCATATCAATCAACCTTGAAGGTCTTTTCGTGACGAGCGATCACGTGAAAAGAGCTTTCGTAAGGTTGTTGCCAAGATTTGCGTACCGAATCTACTCGTAAGAAAACATGTGAACAGGCAGATAACTCTCGAGGGAGAGCGACCTGTCGATGTTGTATTCGAGTTGACACCGGAGACAGCGTTCGCATAAATGCAGACAGTCGACGAACGTAGTCTGATTTACCGAAATCAGGTCTGCTCCGTGGTGTGAAGGATTCTCCGGGCAGACGCAATGTCGTGCCGTATACAAGTTCAGCGGCGGAACATTGGATATCTACCTTTAAGCTCGTTCCGATCCCTAAAATAACGAGCGGTAAGGTTTCGTGTGCTCGTAGAGCACTTTTAAGTGGGCAGTGAAACCGTTCAACTTAACCATTTGGTGCTGGGTGGTAGACGGATATGCTTAAGCGTATGCATTCCGTACCAAGTAGCCGGGTCAGCGAAGAGAATCGAATAAAGCGTGGGATTTACCGTCACGCGAATAAAAAGTGACAAGGATTCGGTACACATACGTGGGAGTCTATTATATTAATACTATTCTTATCGTTATCCGTCATGTCGAGTATATTATGTATTAAAAGATAATATGAAAATATACGACAGACGTGGATAGATAAATAACAGACTCACCAAATTGGCTTCTTTGGTAGATTTTACCAGAAGTTGAGGCGTGTTCCAAACTTTGGGATCACCAATTGTAGCGTGGCGTCAAGTCGAGATTGACTATGTACACCGCTACCAAAAAGCTCGTTCCAAATGACTCCATAAAAACCCCGAGAAGCCAAATATAGGAAGGCAGAAAATGGACCAAGTTCGGATTTATTCACTGGCGATCTCGTGGTATCGAAAGGATACCGAGATCGTGCCAGGATACAAGCTTGGTTACAGAAGGTAACCGAATTCGCGCGAAATTACAATCGAAGTGTAAGAACAAGAATGGAAACCCAATATAACTGTCATTAGCACAGTCAAACAAAAGCACATTAAAATAAACACTGGTACAACTGTTTATAATAATAATTGTTTTTATTGAACCAGTCGTGTTCTCGTAATAAACGTGAGTCACTACAAGTTCATAGAAACGCCACAACTGTTAAAGTCCTACACTGATCGAAGGATCTAGAAAAATCAACTATTTGTACTTTCCACGGTTCATGACAAATCTCAAAGTATGTATATCGTCAATATTTCTGCTCCTTTTCGGTTTTTATCAGAATATTCGAAGACTGATCACCAAGCGTTAAACATTATATCGAATTTCATAAAGACCATGGATGCTACATTCGTTGAAAAATGATTAAATAAAGACTCGACTGGGGATTCTTTAAATTTATATTAAACTAACTGAGGTATACAGTAGCAATAAAAAAACCAAAACACTGTATGGACGCAACTTGACTAAAATAATAGTCATAAATACACAGTAAGACTTCTTCATAGTTATATTGGATTTATATCAACACAAGCAACATAATCATCCGCAACTGTAGTATATTAAAAATGACATTCACAATAAAACATCAAGAAACTGTATTAGAATAGAATAAATCCAGGACTGCATTAAAATGTTATAATCTGCATTATATTGAAATGACTACAAACCGTCACGTGTAGCCTACTGAGCGTTTCTCAAATATTTACAGACCAATATGGTTAACAAATAAAAAGATAGACAAATATGCAAAGCATTACAATGAGGCTAATGCAACAACTAACATTTGTTCAAGTTATTCACCCACTTCATTGATAATACCAACCGTTAACTAAATCCCCAAAAGAGACCAGACAACCTGGTTGCTGTGTCATCAGTTTAAGAGATAATTAAGTGTAACTTTTGTATAAGATTATTTATGCTACGGTTACATCATCCCAGACTAAATTAGGTTAACAGAATTAGCTTAATAAAGTAGATAAGACTCATCATATAGACTAAGCCTTCTCTTCTAATTTTTCAGTTAATTTATTGTATAGATGGACATCATAAAAGTTAGATTTTTAACCACATGAATAGAATAAAGTTGGGAAGATGTTTCCCTGTGATATGCAAATGTGGTAACAAGTGGACATCAGTAACCATAATAACAACTCGTTCCCACACACACACTTTATCAAAAAGACGATTTATCTGAGTTTACAAACAATCATCACACTTATCCTTATATCATACTTATACCTTATATATCACAATCATCAAATTAAAGTGTACAAAATCTCTCCATAACAGCCACTATCCAGTGGAAAACATAATAAGTTCTACTAATATCTGGTCATTCTGATTAACATGGTATCGACTCCGTCGATGATAGTGGTAGTACTTATGGTTCATTTGGAACTTCAGAAAATTAAAGGGTTATTCGGAAAAACGTCATTTTAATGCAGCCTGGTTAAACAACTTCCGAAACGACATGACAGTTGATGAGTGATTGCCCGTTGGATAATAACAGTTCTCAATAGCTTAGTGCGTAAATGTCATCGGTTTATACCTCAGACAATAATTTTTTTCAGATAATGCATAGAACCGGGCCACTCATATGTTATGCGGAGGACAATTTATGCACCTCGAGGTTAGTAACACCAAAGTGTATTGTTGGAGGGACTAGGCTACGATTCGTACTTCTATCATAAAATAACTGGGTCAGTAAGAACTGAAGAAATGTCGATACAGTGTAACTACTTTTTCGGAAAAAACCTCAATTTCTAAACACTGATCAACAATAAAAACCTCGAAATTGAGAACCTGGTCACAAATTCAGTTGAGGGTTGATTATACTGGAGAGAAAATCCTTTTCCTAAAAATTGATAATAAGACGACAAACAACATAACTAAACAAATAAAAACAATCTTTAATCAAAAAATAACAATGATAACAAGAGGCGTAAAGCTGAGCCAATTCAAAAATGAATGAAATGATACAGATATTTATCACCATAACTCAATGAAGCAAATAAAATCTTAATAAATATATGAATGGCAAAAATCAAAACACAAATAGGGTAATTAGTATAAATAATAACCATGTGATAATGATTATATAATCAACCAACACTGTATGTAGATCTTAAAGGAATCTCAGCCATTTCACTTCGCATACATAAAAATTCACCCATTACTGTCATTATAGCAATTGATAATAAATTAACAATCCACCAAAGTATAGATTGTGGAAAACTATGCGAATAAATAATACAAAATATAAAATGCCAAAAGTGTATAGTACATGAAAAATCAAGACATTGTTTACTGCGTTTTACAATAAACCATAAACCAATACTACATATTAATGGAGTTAATAGAAAACCAATAAAGAGACATATACCGATTGAATCGGGGAAATGTATTTTCGTATCGATAAAAATCATATCCAATGTTGGTAAATTATGTGAAATTATTACTAGCAGAAGTCCAGAAATTGAACCGGCAGATATATAAAATATACATTGCATAAATACAATTTGACTGATAATTAGAATTGGATCCCAAACGGTACTACGAAAACCTGATGCCATTCACATGAAACAACGAAGCCTAAAAGTAAATAGAAAAATGGATAAACAATTGTAATCATAAACCAACTTTAGTTGAACAATCATTAGTAGCCCACAACAGCTGTTTCATACCAATAACGAACGTCTCAAATAATGGGCATCTACGTCACTAGAAATCTAACAACTTTGAGACTTATGTGCTTAGCTTTAACATCAATGAGTTGGAATTCAGTGCCAATTAATCCACTATACTGTTGTGAACGAGGACACAAGTGGTGACAATCAAATGTATTTGAATAAAAAACTACAGAATATCTTGGTGAAATCTGAGAATCATACAGTAAGTACTCCATTTGCAAAAGATCCATCAATTGTCTCAGATTTTGTTGTTCTTTTGTTTCCATACTGACCACTTTCTGTTCTCGTTATCTTCTTTTCGATTTTCTCAACCTTCTGCCGCTAGACATTCCACTTTCGATTGGTGATACATACTACCTATATCTACTGACATTAGTTACACACACCACAATACTAGGATGAAATAGCTCATCAATGTTTTCTGATTTTCATTAATTGTTTGAATAAGATCAGTCTGTAATGTAAACTATGACATGAATCAACTTCCACAAACCTTCTATTGCAATCGTAATATTATGCAAAAACAAAAAAACATTCAGTAAATAAAAGAAGTAAACCACAATTAGTAGTTGTATATTTCGTTTTTCTTTCTGCTTCTATATAAATAAAATAAAGGATAAATTAATAAAACACAAGTATGAAATGTACACACAATTACGTGATGAATAATATTGGCATACAACTATAATCACTAGATACGAAGCTTTTAAATACAGAACCTAATAGAAGAGCGAAAAAAAATTGGATAGAGAGAGTCTAAGTTTTTATCTTCTGTTTTTAAAAAAAGTAAGAAACAGCAAAAACGAGAATATTCCTATCACAAAAAGAAACAAACATCTCATTCTAATTGTTACGATTCCATCCGAGAATATTACAAGTCTATGGAAAAAGAAAACAAAACAAACAAACAAATGATCAATTTTGTGAAATTATATTTGTATATATATATATTGAGAAGAATTATGTGAAATGATAAACGCTATTGTGTTATTGTTTATTTACCATTGAAATACGCAAATATTGGTACAAAGCACCAAATATATACGTACAATACTTCATCATTTGATTTGTATGACGGCTGAAATACTATCAGGGTGCCCAAACTGAAGAAGGTGGTTTCCTTAGAGGGGTCGCCCACTCAACACTTGATCTAGAGTCTAATAAATAAGGCAGTAAAACAACGTTAAGAGATGCAGTCCCATGATAGCCAGTGACCAACAATAAGTTCATACGCCGTTTGTTCCCTTAGGATCCTAGAGTCCATGTGCACCACTGCTTTGCAATCAGGATTTTCCATCTGCTCTAGATGGATTTTCTAACCCGGTTAAATCACATTTCATCCTTTAAATTTCAGTATTATTACCAACGAGTGAGACTAATATGAAAATAAAAATCATCTAGCTATAAAATGTATTGCGACAATTTGTACAAGTTCTAAACTTTAGAATGTTTTCATTGTGTTCATTCAATATTGTTAATGTTTAACATTAATAATATGGTAAAAAAAATAGCCCAGCAGAACTGTTGACCCAAATGTAACATTAGGCTATTTCAATTAGACAAGAACAGTAGACGTACACATACGAAACATGTCCGCATTCAATATAAATTGAAGTTAAGCACTTATTCAGTAGGGAGATTATTCAAATGGTTAAGGCTGTTGACTAAGTAGCACGCATAAAACTCATTAATATTAATTTCCGGAAAGAAAAGCCCTTTGTTATAAAAAATAATCACATAATAGCATAGTATATAAATAGTGGCTAACAGTGGAAAACCAGGACGCGTTGGATACATCCAAATCTTAGTGTTGATCTTCACATTGAGACTATAAACGTAATAAATACTTCTTTAAACGCAGACAAATTATTCGTTAAGCTAATGAATTCACAAAGTCAACTTGAATAGGAAGTAGGAATGTAGTTTTAAGAGTTTGTGATTTTTTCGTTGATATTTAGGACTGATATTTTATAAAGAAGAAACGAATCAAGTGAAGAATTTTTTTTCAATTAGTTTTATAAATTGATAGGAAATTCAAAATATTCAGATAACTTACAACATTTCCAAAAGCTAAAACACCATTTGTAAGCATACTTGATGCAGCCTTCAACTAAAATTTCACAAGAATAAAAAAGATATTTGAAAAAAAATGTTGCGTCTCAATTTAGATTAATTTACTTTGGAAAAACGATAAGGTGGATATACGTACCCAAAGTACATTGGGTTTAATTACGAAGAATATTTACAAAATGATTATGAGATATAAGAACTCCATAATCTATACGTGTTGAACGAATCTCATTGATAAAGTTGGAATATAGTCAATAGTCTTAATAATTCAACATTATGAGAACTACGTTTTGATGTAAGATGATTGAAGGTAGTCGGTAGGAAACCCTGGAATTAGGATTCTTTCAAGTTAGGACTTGGCAGTACGGCTTACTAGCAAGTTATGGAGAGCTGACGTTTTCTGTAGTATTCGACTCAGTCTCACTCGGTTTTGAAGTCAGATGCTACTGCTGGGTTATTTGAGTTTCCTATCAATTACCGCCGAATAACTAACATCGAGGAAATTTTCCCTGTCGGAATGGTGAGGTTCTTAGTTCAATGATGTGGATCCTACTTTTGAAAAAAATATGTAAGAAAACCTATTGAGATGCAGCTTACCAATAACACATAAGAAAAAATCTAGTTCTGCTTATGATCGTTAAAATTCATTAGAAAGAGATTGAAGGTGATATTAGAATATTCATACAAAAAGTTGATGATGTAACAGGTTAAGATCAGCTTGATCCTATAAAACCAATAACAAAAGTCAATAATCATTTACAATCTATTGAAACTCAGTCATCTATCTGAACATAGTGCGGTCTATATTTGAATTCCGATTTGTATATCAGTACCCATTAATTTATATTCTATTGAGTCAAAAATAAAACTACGCATTTATTTTGGGTTTCATGTTCGATGGTTGGAGGTAGTTGAGTAGAATTTCCGAACTAAAGTCTTATACTACATAGCGTATTGTTTATCTTGAAGGAATTGGTACTCACTAGCATATTCAATCACGAATCACACCAGTTTTACAAACACCAACATTACCACTGGACTATTCAAGATGCGAACAACCTCCTGTGTCACTGAGATATTTGCAATTGACTAATCAGTGAGTAGAGACCAATGTTTATATCAAGCCATTTGAATGTCGATTCAAATATATCAATAGCGAGAGAATCAGTTACCTCAAGATTACAGGTACACTATGTTGGCGGGTGCTAAATAACACTAAAACTATATCTAGAGTTTCCCATCAATCATCCAAAATCATTTAACATATGACTTATAATGAATGTAACGTTGAATCACTTAGACTGAAGGTTACATTACAACTTAATAAACAGGATTTCATCAACATTAAGGACTACATAAACTCGATATTGATCATGAATTACCGAACAATCAATGGTAAAGTTTACAAGTTTAATTCTACAATAACATGAAAACTTACAAAAGAAAAGAAGAAAAATGACACGCAACTTACATTCATCTGTTTCATAGATCGTAAATCTTCAATTCGTTTACGTAAAAATATCCATGATTCTGAAAGTTCCAGTGATTTATCTTGTAACATATACAATTCTGTTAAATTGTACACATAAGCAACGCCTAAACGTTTAGCATACCATGATATCTAGAAAATGATATATTTTTAATGATACAAAAAGAACTATATATATATATATATATATATATATATATATATATATATATATATATATATATATATATATATATATATATATATATATATATATATATAAATTTATAAAAACGTTATATACTACTTATAAGTAACTTCAATAGAATGGTCGATAATTAGAACCTGTAACATTTAATATTATTTTGTATTTTAAAAAAGAGATTTTCTAGATAGATTTATACAGTCATTTATTATACAAAATTATGTAATTCTTATTCTTATTCAGCAGAGATAAAATTCTTTTGTCAAGATCTCAGTAATGTTTGAAATATATTATTACTTTGATAAGACACATAGTAATTGAATGAGAAAAATGACTAATCATTAATTAAATATGCATGATGCGCAAATTTCACATTAATCGAATAAAAAAGAAGCGAAAAACAGACTGTCACAAAAGGAAATTTTAATATATGCTCAAGAAAGGTGACTGTTTCATCACATAACAGTGTCGTGTTTAACATAAACTTTCTTACATTTATAAAAATAAGAACAAAAAACAGCCCAAAAATGAAACATATAGAAGAAAGAATGGTAAGACTATAATTTATGGACGACCTTTAGGCGACGCTGAAGTGACTTTGAGAGTGTCTACCTACTTACTAGGGCTAAATGAAGGTTATAAAGCAGTTCAAAGAATAAGGATTTACAGTTGATAGTCAGGGTTAGGACTTAGATTTAGAGCTTCCATCACGAACTGAAATCAGCTACAATGACAAGACTCTATTTAGCCAAATGGGGGAATGAGTTTTGCGCCAAAATCTCAGACCTGTTATCGTAGATCTGATTGGTACTCAAGGCTTCTATGAACCTGAGAATTAGTCCTTAACAATTTCTATACAACGTTTTAAAAGCTGTATTAAGATCGATTCTCTGCCCTGTTTCAACTACGTGTTTTTCTATCGATGAACATGATTTTCTACTTCCCATGTTGATTGGAACATTCGACATTATTTGATTTCGAAGTGATCTAGGTATATGTTCCATAAACCTTGGTTGTATTGTTTGATTACTTCTCCCTATTTAAATGTGTTCGCAAAAACATGTAAGAATTGGTAAATACGATGGGATGTGACATAATTACACGTGGACTGTCTAGGTCTATTTGGAATACATTGAATATATATATGGAATAAACAAACAAAAAACATATTTTGAGATTTAAACAATTAATTTCCAGAGTTATTAATAGTTAATACCTTCAAAAACTCGATATTCTGTGATACATCACGTAGGATTTTTACAATGGTTTACTGATAGGTCATTTATTTGTATAAATTTTTCTCGAGTCGAGGTTACAAAAAGGTGTGCAAAAACTTGGATAAAATGATATCGCTTATTGTATTTTGAATTATAATTACTGTACAATGAGTAGCGATATTATTTAAATGACTCAAGGAAATCATCTGAAGAAGTATTGTATCTATGAGTGAATGTTAGGAAAATGAGTAACTGAACTACAACTTCACTCTTGATCTACCCATAGACCTTGAGTTACAGTAGTCTTTTAAACAAACTTTGTTTTATTTCTATTTTAGAACCATATTCATAATGTTTAGTCTTTCTAGTCCGAACCATGTTGGTAGAGACAGACTACTTGGTTGGGGTCCACGTGACTTTCGTAACCAATGGTTGGAAACTTTGGGTGACATGCCTCAGAATTGATCACAATGATGATGGTGTATACACTCTTTATTTTGCCTTAAACCGTGAGATTAAAATTCCTTTATACCTTTCTGTCTACCAACTAATTCTTTGTTTTTGTAATATATCCTTCTATGCAATCTTCTTTTTATATATTACTACCATTGAGGTAACTATTATGAATTTGGTGTTCATCTTGTTGTGATAATGAGGTGTGGTAACTTGGACCAATGCATATATGTGCCTGGTCCTACGTTTTATCTAACTGACTGACTTATAATTACTGGCACTACAGTAATTTCGACATTTTGCTATTCACTTGTTGATTTCATTTCGTTCAGTCCATTTGGTTTAACAACTTGGGATTATATATATTAGTGCTAGGTCTTACAGTGATTATGACTGACCAATAATTTCACTAAAGGAGTACATAAAAATTATATACTGAACAACTGATATAATAACATAAACTTTAAAACATACATCAGTTGAACGATCACCTGCTTGGGCCCATATTTCGTCGACAAGTTGAGCAAGCATACCAATAGATAAAGGAATATTTGTAGGTAAAGATAACAAGCCTAAAGCTTGAGGCCAAACACTTAAATATGGTATAATTAGTTTCAGTCGATATTCCAAAGAACGATATAAAAATTGATCTACTTCAGCGGCTGTAGATGGGAATGATGATAGAGGTGAGCTAAAGATTAAATTAATAAATTTTTATTTATCATAAAAAAATTATAATATTTCATGTATTTAATGTATAAATCATTATAATCTATCATAAGTGAGCATACATTTAAAGTGATTTGGTCTTAGACAACCGAGCCGGCAACCAAACGGTGTTAATTTCTAAATTCAACCAAGCGTTCGCGCGCGAGACCGAAAGTCTTGGGTTTGAATCCCACGTGCGGGATTTGGATACGCACTGCTGAGGAGTCCCATACAAGGATGATCTAGCTCTATTTGGAAGTGAAAATGTTATCCATGAAACTAGAATGTTACATTACATATAATTTAATTATTTAGATTGCCTAAAGCTAACTTAGGCTAGTGAGTTAAATATATATACGTAATAAACTATTTACAAGTCTAAAAAGGTGTAAGCTTCGCATTGATACTTTAGCAATTGCTCTTTTCCCTATTCTCTATAAAACCATTTCATTGTCACCTTCAAAGTTAGTGAATGGTATATGGAAAGTGAGCGAGAAGGAGAAATAACCTAAAATAATCAGAACAGCGTTCATTGGTGCAGATAATCAAGTCAATTACAGTGTACTTGTATAGACATACCATAGACTTAACAGACGATGACATTTTACATAAAGCATATTTAGTTTACTTGAGGTTCAACATATACCCGCCATTGATTGAGCAAATACAAATTTCAAGTTAAGAAATTAATGGCTTCCGCAAGAAAATTAAGAATAACATAGAATCAAACTGATCTATCCATAAGGTTTGTAATATTTTGGTAGCCCGAAATCTGACCTCAGGTAGATCGTTTGCTGCTTGTTATCGAAATGTACATGTCGCTAATTCTCGTATATAATCATCGACTTAAATCGCGTTGGTGAATAACTGAATTAAATAAGTCAAATACGAGAACAAATTTCGAATACGTGTATGTCATACAGTGCTTGATCCAAACAAAAGATCGTAGAAACGAAGCGGAGAGAGCGAAGTGAAACGAAACAATGCGCGGTGGAGAATACAAAGAAGCCAACTCCATTTAATCAAGCGTGAATCAATATTTACAGTCAGACAAAAATAAGTTACAGACATGTGATGAGTAAGATAAGAAATGCATATACATACGCTTATATAAAAACAGTCAAGGTTAATAAAAAGTAATTGAAAAGGTCAGAATGTGACTCAAGAACTAATAAATTGGTCCGTCGGAAAGCTAGAATAAGTTATGTGGGCTTAACATAGTGCTACCCAATACAATATATGATGACGAACTTCATTTATACTCTGTAGTCATTTGGTTAGAAGCTCCTAAATGTCCTGGTACGGTCGAGGGTGGGGAGAGTCCGCTCTCCCACTCAAAACACTCTCACATGGACACAAGTATGAAGCGACTGCCAGAGAAGTACTATTCGCTGCCTTTTCAAAACGGGGGTGTTGTTTACGAAATTGAGAGGACGAAAAGCGAATGTTCGGCGCTTTAACTGGGTTGGTAGATATGGAGGGTCCACGTAGGGGAGTTGGGAAATCCCGATCCCAAGCAGATGGTGCACATAGGCTACATGATCCTGGGGAAAAGAATGGCGTATGAACTTATTGTTGATCGCCGACCACCATTGGAGTGCATTTTCTAAAGTTGCTCCCCTGTCTTGTAAATTAAACCTTTAAGTCAAAGGCTTGGGGTGTGGCCCCCCTAAGAAAACCACCTTCTTGATTTGGGCACCCAACTAGTATCACAACCCTCAGACAAATCAATGTTAACTATTGCTGACCTCATTGTTATTGCGTGGAGCATATGTATTTGGTGCCCCATTGTACCAATGTTTATGTTTAAATAAATAAATAATATCAGAAGGGATTTTTGTGGATATTATAGTAATTTCAATAATTGAGATCATAAGTCAATTGAAACTAGGCCACCTTGGGAAACCTGAAAGCACCGGATGGTCGTTTTGTCCCACTGCGGGACTCCTCAGCAGTCCGCATCCACGATCCCACCCCGCGAGATTCCAACCCACCACCTATCAGTCTCGCGCGCCAACTATTGAAATAAATAATAATTGATATCATGGTTGAATATACTACGTCAGTGCTAGAATTTGAATGGTTGATTTAGGTGTACATTAATTAGTGCATTATATTTTAGTAATTAAGGAAATGTTTATCTACATGAATTGAATGAATATAGCATACCAACATACACTTGGCTAGAAAATACACACCGAAAATTGGATCCTCATATATTTTCATTGAAGAAATCTAAAACTATCAGTTAGTAACAAGAAAGTATGGAGCCTTACAAATAAGTGGATTGACTTAAGTTGTCACAAAATATCAGCACACAGATAGAAATTATTAATACATACCAGAACAATAGAGGTAGTAACAGTGTCAGTAGTAGTAGAAAAGATTAAGCATACAAAATGTGATCTGAGAACAAAAAGTATGAGTATATAAGGACTGCAATTACGTTACCGAGACCGATTTTGAACCATGTCAACCAACATCCCCAACCATTAGTTACGATAATAGCACGGATTCCAGTCTGGTAATCTGCATCTGCCTATATGGTGTGGTCCAACAGTCAATGACTTTTAAGATCTAAGGCACATATTGGTTCGGTCCCACCTAGTTTTCTTTCAGTCTAATCCCTTAACACCTGGTCGAAGTAGGCAGGGGTTGGAGGCATGATCTACGAAAATCCACTACTTCACAAACCGATTTGTATTTCTACCCTAATTTCTTTTGTCTAACACCAGCATTGCTTACACAGTGATTGTGACATCCACGGGAAGATTTTTATAGACATCTATGATCAAACACTAGTAACGTACAAATATCCTCCATCTTTAGGGACCATACCTCACAACTATAAATAAGAACAGAACAAACTACTGAGCAGTATAATCTTCTTAAACTGAGAAGAAAAGGATACCGATTGCCTCCCAGTTTTGGATGATTTTTCAATTGATGTGTATGCATGATACAAACTATCTTCGAGCAGAAAAAATCCAAACTTATAGAAATGTCAAGTTTACACCAACACTACATACAAACAGAGAGAACAGTAGGTATTGAAAAATATAAGCAATAATTAGCATCTCTAAATGTGCTTTTGAAACCCAACCATATAAGTAACAAAATAAGACTATTAAAAACTAATTTACAAAATTGAGGTGGACAAAGAAAAATATACAAAGAGTAAAAAATTCTCTACAATTCACGGAGAAAGTGCAAATGCACTTGCACTAGCGGCATTAATTTTGAGATGAGTGACGTTGAAAACTGTCAACTTATTTTTTTAAGACTAGATCCTTCCTCATTAGGCTTTACTTTAATATACAGTAAGTTTTATATGCATATACTTACTTACGCCTGTTACTCCTAATGGAGCATAGGCCGCCGACCAGCATGCGAAATCATTAAACCAATCAATGTAGTTGGTTTATAATTCAGCAATCACAGAGGAATGGATTATACTTTCACTATAGTCGATCAGAACATTGGAAAAGAAGAACTATTACAGCTATTTAACAATAAGCTTAAGTTTAGAGAAATTCACGACTTAACAAGAAAACAAATTAACAGAATCCTCAACCACATTAGAACATATGAACTTTAAATAAAAGCGAACATACAAAAATTGCATACTCTGATTCTTTAATATCAATATTCTTGTTTGTACTATCACTAGTTGTCCTCCATTGTTGCATGACTTCAGCCAGCTGTTGATTACGTGTGGCATAGAAATGTAAAACTATGTCAATACCACCTTGAGGTGCAACATAGGCATGTAATCCTGAAGGTAGTCCTTCAGCTTGGCAACAAGCCTCAACCGCTTCTCGTGACCAACCATATTTCGGGACATAGGCCAATGTGGATTCCAAAACACGTGCCTTCAAATCTGAATCTAGTACGAGTTGATGGGTTTCAGTACCGTGAAATTTATGATCACTGAATATGATAGAAGCTAGAAATGTACGGAAAAAATATTCAAATGAAACCTATTTGTTATATCCGGACGAAGAACAAGTGAATGGTAACTGCTAGGACCTATATATATATATATATATATATATATATATATATATATATATATATATATATATATATATATATATTTATATTTATATTTATATATTTATATATTTATATATTTATATATATATATACGATTTACTATTCTTAAGTTATTCCTAACATATTAATTACAGTATCTTACACTCAGCCACTTTTGGTCTGACCTCGTATAATTGCTATTTTCTATTTTATGGTATGATCTGGTCTGAATTGCTTGTATATAAACTGCGTATTTCTGAAATGCATGATTCATACAGCGGAAGCTGAGATTGTGTTCTGAAGTAAAACGGGCAGGGCTAGGCAAGAACTAGTGAGGACTCAGAGTTTACTCTATAATGTTGGTACTGGTTTCTGCGTCATTGGTCTGGTCATATAAGTCGATGTTTCTAATTAGCGATATTACCACGTGATATATTCGAAGGCTATAAAACCACAACACTATTGAGCAGTCCTAATAAATAGATTCTTGTGGATAAATGAATAGCACTTGTGTCCATAAATAAAAACGAAATAATATGGAATTTTGAAAAATTGTGTCATACCAACAAGTTGCTGATTACAACAAAGAATAAGGCAGAAGTATGAAAATATTTTAAAAAAAAACTAACAGACAGAAAACGAGAATAAGTGTTTATAAGGTTACAAAATATTCAAGGCTGAATCGTCTAGATAAATAATCAATTCATTATGTACTATTAATTCACAAATTTGTTCGGCTTGTGCACTTGTTGAAACTGATATCCAACCTTCAACTCTTTATAGCTCTGAGAACTATAGGTAACGTAGACTGATGTAAATTAATAGGCCGTTAACTTTTTAATTATAGTCTAGGAATGTTATTTGGATTTATTAAAGCAAAAGCTACAGTAAGGTAGTCGAACTCTACCCGACAGGATTTCCTTCCTGATAGCACCGATATATAAGGGTGAAACTCCTCTAGTTCCAATATAATAAAACTAGTAATCATAATCATCTTACGTTGAGCTAGAGCCTAGGAACAACGAAATGAAAACAAGGGGAATGCTTCAGATTAGGTCGTAGAAGTTACCAGCTACAAACTTACCGACTGTCATATGTTGTAAGATAAATACACTTGCCGATACACACCTTAAACCGTATTCAACGACCTGAAGACAATACCCAACTGTATATCATGGGATCTTATGCCTTTGTAGGTCCCTTAAAAATAAATTAAAACGGATTATCCAAGCGAATCCTCTTCATTATTTATTTATTTATTATTTATTTAAACACATAAATATTGGTACAAGAGGGCTCCAATATATATGCGCCACACAAAACAATGAGAATTCGAAGAGAAAGAAAAAAAAACAATAACGAAGAGGTTGGTGTAAGGTAGTGTAGTAATAATAATAGTAATAATGAGGGAACGGAAAGGTACAATCAGAAGAAATCTTTCAGTTAAGGGAGACACAACCACCTTTTATGAAGAAAGTAAAAGAAGGTTACAGTATACATACATCATACATCGACACCATGTCATGCACTGACCACCTCTCCGCTTCTTCCAACCAGTCCCAGAGTCGGCAAATAATGCACGATGTGGAATTCTCTGGAACGACATTCGTAGAACATGTCCAAGCCACCGAAGTCGGTGTTTCAAGATGGTGACACCAATTGCATTATCATCTCTGTGCCCGAATACACGATGTCGAACCTCTGCATTACTAACATGGTGTTGCCACTGGATGTCAGCAATCCTTCGGAGAAAGCGATGATCGAACACAGAAAGTCGTCTAACGTCCTCAACTCGGAGAGGCCAGGTTTCACAAGCATAGAGCAAAACTGCACTCACCGACGCGTTGTAGATCCGAACTTTTACAGCCAGACTAACATCACGAAGGCGCCAAAGGTGGCACAGATTGGTGTAAGCCGCTCTGTCTTTCACTATATAAGTGCATTGATCTCATCACTCACACCCCCACCAGCACTTATGCAGATACCCAGATACACGAGCTTCTCGACTACTTCTATCTGATCACCATCCAGGGTGAGTGCAGGATTAGAATCCTGCCAGTCTTGTAGAAGTACTTTGCACTTCGAAGGTGCAAAGCACATACCATACCTACGGACACTGATTGCCAACTGATTAAGTGCGGATTGCATGCCTTGGGCATTATCGCACAGTAAGACAATATCATCCGCATACTCAAGGTCGAGAAGTCTTTCTCCAGGCAACAGATTCACACCGCCATTACTTACATCCATCAGAGCTGTTTCCAGAATGTCGTCGATGGCAAAGTTGAAGAGGAACGGTGAGATTGCGCAACCCTGTATAACCCCACTGCTCGAATGGAACAATGGAGAGAGGTGGTTGTATGGCCTCACTCTGCCTGAGGTGTTTTTATATAAGGCCTTTAGGACGTTAATAAACTTCTCAGGCACACCCTTCTTCAATAGACAATCCCAGAGAACAGTCCTGTACCACGAATCGAAGGCAGCCCTGATGTCAAGAAACACTACGTTTGTTGGCCTTTGATAAGTATGGCGGTGTTCTAACATTTGGCGGAGGGTGAAGATATGATCAATACATCCTCGACCAGAACGAAACCCAGCCTGCTCCTCGCGAGTCAATCTTTCTCGGGTTTTGAACAACCCACGAGGTATGACGGAAGCCAATAGCTTGGACGCAATCGGAAGTAGACATATCCCTCGATAGTTGTTACAGGAACGACGTGAACCCTTTTTAAAAACAGGGACAACTATCGACTCATTCCATGACGTTGGTACACTCTCTAGTTCCCAGACCTTTGTAAACAACGTCGTCAGGTCCTTAGTCAGAAAGTCACCACCATCTTTAAAAAGAGCCGGAGGTAAGTCATCCGGGCCCGGTGATTTGTAGCACTTCAAGAGTTGGAGTTTCTTGTGGACTTCCGCCTCATTTGGTGGATCAGTCGTCACCGGCCATGGAGGTCAGGACAGTCTGACCGACGTTGCCGGAGAAGCAGGCCAGTTGAACTGCCCTTCGAAAAATTCTGTCCATCGCCCAAGACGTCGATGGATGTTAGTGATTGGCATCCCGTCATCCTCGCAGATTGTTTCACTCACACAAGACTTCTTGCTGCCAGTGGCTCGGATGAGCTGGAAGAGTTTCCGGTAGTTACCAGATGCAGCCGCTGCTTCCAGCTCATTAGCACGCTTCGACCTCCAGGCTTCTTGGTCCTTACGCAAGCTTTGTTCGATTTCATCACTTAATAGCCTTCGTATGTGGTCAAACTCACGGTCTCCTGGAGTAGACCGACGGGCTTCAATGAGTTGTAAGGAACCAGAAAAAAACCAGTGCTTATAAGCGGGACGTTTCGCGAAGCCGCATGCAGTTTTATTCGCCATATTGATGGCGTCGTGAAGTTACAAGCAATGCTCATCTATACTTTTCGGTGGAATGGTAGCTAGCCTAGAAGCTAGTTCGGTTCGATACCTACTAGCAACAGAAGTTGCTACCAACTTGCTGACACCAATTCTTTGGTGGCGGTCACTTCGTTGGCCATTGAAAAGTAAAGTAAGATTGGCGCAGACCAAGGCATGGTCAGAGTCCAGATAGGTACTCCAAAAGGAGCGGAATTCTTTTACACAACCACGCCAGCGGTAGCTGATCGCGATGTGATCAATATGAGTCCAGGCTTGAGATGCAGAGGGAGGACGCCAGGTGGCACATCAGCGATGAGTTTGCCGGAAGTTAGTGCTAGCCAGAAACAGGTTGTGGTCTGCGCACAGTTGCAGTAGACGGTCCCCGTTATCTGACCTGCGACCAACGAGTCCCCATCGGTCACCTAAACGACTCTCTTCTGTGCCTAGACGCCCGACCTGAGCATTCAAGTCTCCGGCTAGTACTACAATATCTGTCGAACGCACTTTCTGGAGAAGAACACTTAACTGGTGGTAAAACTCATCCCTAATTGCATCCAGGCTGCAATCTGTCGGGGCATAGGCGGAGATGACGAAAAGACATCATTTCTCACGCCAATTTATTCTCACTTTGATGGAACTTTCTAATCTAACAGCACATAACCGACTGTTAATAGGGATCCGATCGATTAGTGCTGCCTCAGCTCTAACGCTTAGTGCGACACCAACGCCAACAATATCAAACTAGAGAACTAGTGAGGACCCAAAGTTGACTCTAAGCTGTTGGTATATATATATGCTACATTAAACAGAATTTTGAACAATTTCCTTTTCTTAATGTCGCCACAGATATGCTTTTACAGTTATTTAGTGAACTAATAAGTGACAACAAAAGAAAATTGATAATGTGTAAATTACTAGGAATTTAAAAATTATTGCATTAGGGATAGCTTATATCGAAACTTATTCCTATTAAAAGATCGAATTATTAGGGACGAAGATCACTTCTACTTATCTTAGGATATATATCAGCCCTGGCCAATTGATAGCTCGAAAAATATCAGCGCGAGTTACGAGCTGAAGCAGTTGAATGACAATATGGTATTGTTATATGAATTTGTGGACTTCAAGAAGTGTCGATTTTTTTATTTGGTTCTGTAGAACAAAGACTGACAATGAATGAGCACTCTAGGTAGTATGGATATTATCCCCCCTCATTTCCCTTTAAACCTGATATACACCATCAATATTATTCCATACTTTCAATTATTTGCCTATTTTGGACGCTACATTGTTGTTAGTTTTTCACTACTCTTTTTGATCATTTATATGTTCTTCATGGTACGTTGAACTGAATTTTGGGAATCATAAGTGATGAACATCATTAGCAGTATGTTGGCCAAATTTATTTGACTAGTGCTGTTAGTTGTTAGGATCGAAAAAAGTGAGTTTCAAACTCATAATGCTTAGGATACAAACTAATTAATCTTAGAAATTAAGTCTTAGAGATGAATAAAATAATCTAATTTTCCATAAGATGTGACTGCACTGCGTCGTCAAAGCCATCAGAAAATATGAACTAACTAAACATGTTTGTATTAATTGGAAATTAGATATGAATTCAAAGACGCAAGCTATCAATTAAAAAAACGTACAACAGTTTCGTTGACGATTTTTATTATTCCCCTGAAGAATCTCTCATAAAAAATGGTTGCAATTATTTAGATTTGAAAAATATCCTATATAATTGGTGCGGAATTTCTGTTAAACTGTTTGCTTAAATTTTGGCCAACGTTCAAACACATAACAATTTGAGATCTGAAAGACTTATCAACTTTAAAAACTTATTAATTAAAGCATTTTCTGAACATTAAGCAGAGTGTGGCTTTAAACAACTTACATAACTGACACAACCTTTGCAAAGGAACATGGACAGTGGATGATACAGTGATCATTCTGTATTTAGAGCTACTGTTTGCAGACAAGACAGATGAACATAATCTAAACAATTAAAACAGATTTCAATCAAAAATAAAGGTTTATGAAACAAAAAATTGTGCGTATATATATATATATATATATATATATATATATATATATATATATATATATATAATGTTGTAAACGATTTAAGCAGTCAATCAAAGCCTCTAACAGCTCGTCACTATAGTCGCTCTGATCTAAATCAGATAATCCACACCAGCTAACATGGCTTAGTTTAATTACCGTTGACTTCATAAATTGGTCACATGTTTTGGTTGGGCTGTCAATAGCTTTCTTACAACCTACTACTGTTACTTTTACTACACCACGCACTATCGCTCATCGAGGTAGGTGGTAGTTGAGTACCAGGGCCCTGGTACGGCCGAGAGTGGGAAGAGTCCGCTCTCCCTCTCGAAATACTCTCACACGGCCACGCGTATATAGCCTCTGCCAGGGAAGTCCTACTCACTGCCTTCTCGTGGCGGGGGTGTTGTTTACGAAAATGAGAGGACGAAAAGCGAATGTCCGGCGCTTTAACCGGATTCCAAACCAATGGTGCACATGGGCTCCAGTATCCTGCGGGAACAAATGGCGAATGAACCAATTGTTGGTCACCGGCTTCCATGGGACTGCATCTCCTTACGATGCTCCACTGCCTTGTGGATCAGACCTTTGGGTCGAAGGCTCGGGGTGTGGCCCCCTAAGAAAACCACCTGCTTCGGTTTGGGCACCCGGGCAGTATCACAGCCCTCACACATATCGGATGAGATTTGTGTGGCGCATATGTATTTGGTGCCTCTTTGTACCATTATCTATGTGTTGAAATAAATAAATAGTTGAGTGCATGTAACACATGTTCCAAATACTTAAGCTGATGAAGATTTACTACCTCGCAAATTAACTTTCTATCTTTACCAAGTGCAATACTGCTACCCCAGGAATCGCTTATTCGGCAGTCCTAAAATATATGAACAATGCTTTTAAGTTAGCTACTTAGTACTATATTCTACTCTATAGTCCAAGGACCTATGATGTTAGTCAAATTTAACAACGGATATTTCCCTTACCTCATAGGTCCTCTCCTTATTCTAATTTAATTCTTCATAACTAGCTCAATCTTCGACAAAGCTTTAGAATCGCATCCCATGGATATGAGCTACGTTTCCGGAACCGAAACACATTTATGAAGAACGATAATTTACTTCAAATTGTAAGGACAATTCTTTGGATATTTAGCCATTCGACAGCAAATTTTTATCTTATAGCCTTTTCAGTGTACCACCAAATGACACTACGATACCTTAGAAAGTTCGAATGCACATTGTTACTTTTTTTTAGTTTCAGCCTATGACGGTGGCTTGAATGAAATGGCAAACCGGCATGATAGGAAGCCTTCTAAATGAAAATTCAGACTCATAAGTTTATTAATCATTGCACGAGACGCTATTACTCAGATACTTAAATCAAGCCACAAAATACTCATATACTATTTCCGGCACCTCGGCACAGCGATTACACTACAGTAACTGTTTGCTGTGGATAGACCATATTGTGAGAGTCAACTTTGAATACAAACAGAAGTTTAGCCAAATTATCACCAACAATAACTAAATATCACAAGTTGAAATCATGAGTCAGTTGAAGCTAGACCACCATTGAAAACCTGGAAGCACTGGACGGCCGTTTCGTCCTAGTATGGGACTCCTCAGCAGTGCGCATCCACGACCCCGCCCCACCCGGGGCTCGAACCCAGGACCTACTGGCTTCGCGCGCGAGCACTTAACCATTAGACCACTGAGCCGGCATCCAACGGTGTTAATGACATTAACACCGTTGGATGCCGGCTCAGTGGTCTAATGGTTAAGTGCTCGCGCGCGAAGCCAGTAGGTCCTGGGTTCGAGCCCCGGGTGGGGCGGGGTCGTGGATGCGCACTGCTGAGGAGTCCCATACTAGGACGAAACGGCCGTCCAGTGCTTCCAGGTTTTCAATGGTGGTCTAGCTTCAACTGACTCATGATTTCAACTTGTGAAATTTCTAAAATCTCCACAAAACCCATTCTGATAATAATAACTAAATAGTTGGTACAGACAGATTATATCACTACAATCCACGAGTGGATGATCAGTGTATTTTTGTACTGTATACAGCATATTCTTGAACTAGAACCATAGATTTATGCGAGCACATTTATGTTTATGTAATGAAACAGCAACTGAAAGCGTTCTTAAGGTTTGACTTATTGGTGAAACTATCATAGAGATATTAAAGAATTAACTATATGGACACCAAATGGGGTAAGAGGATTTTAAACATAAAGTATTCTGTTATGATTTCATAAGTGCAGAATTAGCTATCGGGAACCTCGATGTGAAATCCATTAGATCTTAATAAATCTTGAGAATTTTATCTGGACAAATGTATGTTTATCCTTAGCTCTTTATTTCACCAATTTTTTCTCTTGCTATGTTAGAGTGAGGCTTGTCACAGGTTTTTGCTACGTTTTTGACTGGCTAGCACATTGAAAATCCTACTGACTGAACTTTAACTAAACACTTAACGGTCTATAACCTCATCAGCTATCTTATTAATAATGCAACAGACTGTTTACTTCGTGGTTGATAGACAAAGAGCTATTTGAAACATTATTCAACGGATAAAAACTAGAATTCTAAGCACACAAGTGTAAAAGAAATTAAAGCACATGAAGATAACTTACCTCAGCTGTCGTCCTCCAGAAATAGCAAAGCGTCCAATCATAGTTTTTTTGGTTCGAAGAACAAAAATGACTACCTAAAATCAAGATATGGAGCTACAAACCAATAAAACGATTAAGATTATAACAAGGAGTAAGGGAATAAAGTTTTATTTACAAAACGAGCAATACAAAGTCCCCCATTTACATGTAACTGGTAGATTCGGATTGCAGATATAAAGTCTGAGTTTGATGGAAAGTCATTTCCAAAAGACGCAAACGAAGCATGACACTTTCTTGAACGCCAAGTTGTGATTTTAAACGGATTGCTTCTGTAGTATCACCCGTATTGCGCAAGGTCGTTTGGAGTGCAGAAATACGTGCTTGATACTGAACAATATGTTGATCTAAACATGACTTTAAATTACACAGAAATTCGCTAAAGTAACTTATTTTCCTATCAGAAGTATTGGTTATAAGCTTTACAATGTAGGATATTAGTGGTGAAGGGTATGATTTGAACTTCATAAACACATACATAGCCAAGTTCAAGGCGGATAATAACCAGCTGCTTTCATCAATTAAATCTTCCTGTGAACTGGATGGTAGTGGATACCTGAATATGTATTTAAATATACGCTTGACGTCTTCTGAGTAACACGAATTAGCACTATTTTCTGGGTCAGTTACTTCAAACTCTGCTTTAGAATCACTAATACTTTGCACGACAAGGCTGTGTAAATGATTTTTGAATAGAGTGATCACGTGGCCACGCCAACCATGATGTACACTATCTTGAGTGGGTCCCAGAAATTTAGCATAGATGTGGAATCGAGCGAGGTAGGTTGAAGACGAGATTATTTGCTCAATACAACCGATTGCTTGGGTAATATGATTTGGAAGAGTTTCATCAGATACTGGTTCGGTAGCAACAACTTCTAGATACTCTAACAACTTAAACCGGTGAGGATCCCACCAAACAAGTTGAAGAGAACAATGGTATCTTTTAAAAAGGCTTTCAATAAAATCCATGGCGAATTGTCTTAACCTGAAGTATCTATCAGGGTGAACTTTTTGTTCGCTAGAGTCCATAAAATCGGCTTTACAATTTTTAAACCGTGGATTAGGCCCGGACCCATCGAGCAAGAAATATACAAAAGGACAGATTAAGTCGATCCAGTACCCATGAGTAAAAACTAATGGCCAAAATTTGTACAGTTCATATGTATGACTAGTAAAGAAGTAGTGCAGTAACTGGATCCAACTTGGTACCATAAAGGAAGCAACTGTTTTTCCGTATAGAACTGTATCTGGCGATGTGAGAAGTAATCTACGACATGATAAATAAAACGTGTACAACCCTTCACATACATTCGAAAGATTCTTCACAAAAAGTAAAAGTAGCTCTTCTTTGTCTTTAGAATCAATGTGCAGTAACATAGAAATCATGTACAAAGTATGACACCGTAAAAAACACTTATCGGCAGAATTTAATAGCCTAACTGAAGTTGGCGAAATTAAATTTCTAAATAAGTCAGCAGATGCATGAAGTGCACAGAACAAATCTTTGTCAGCAAATTTTTTTATCGAATCCTCACATGAATTAAAGACTTCCTTGATTCGGCCAAAGTATTTCAATTCGATTTTAATAGCACAAACAGATAAAGCTTTAAGAATTCGAGTAAAATATCCCACATTACTGAAGGTATTAAGGCAACTCTGAAGAAGAAGAACGCACTGATCACAGTCAAATGAAACGGATATTTCAAGTAGACCTTGTTCAAATACGAGTAGTAAACTGCCGTCATCTAACAAACAAAGTTTTCCTAGCCAGTTACACATCCACTGGACCACATAAGGTAGGTCGCTGTCTTGAATGCTCTGGTATAACGAAGTGAATTGTCTTTCTAAATTCTCGATATCGCGGCAAGCAGTATATTCATCGATTAGAGAGCAAATACTATGTACACTGCCAGTAATTATCTCTCCAGACATGAGTAACGCACCACCAGTAGTGTGCGCTTTTGTACAAAATTCAATGTATCTAATGGGGACGACATGTGAAATTCTTATAGTGAGCTATTATAAACCCTCGAATTTCTTCCTCTTTCTATGTGTACATCGAAATAAAGTTCTAAGTCTCTATCAAACTAGAGTTAGAAATAAACACCGAATACACTCAAAAGAGCTCACCAGTTTTGCCACAGTACATATTTCCCTTGAATTAAATGGCTTCAAGCATTCGAAGTTGATTCTTACAATCTTGATTTAAACGGTTTCTCTGCTAGCTGAGGACATTCAGTCAGCTACTAATACTACGTCACGGTTTGACACACAATAAGATGTCATTCCTCTAACTTTGGTTTTATTTAGTCGCGGATTTTAATCCTTCTTGAAGTGGCATCAGGGAAGATTATTCAAGTGGTAATCAACCTTTAATGTAAGAGATATGGGTTTAAATCACTTATATCATCCTGTCAATCCACAGTGCTCTAAAGATTCCGTTTTTATGAGTGTTTCAATGAGATGCTTTGCAAAGAATTAAAACAAATAACTACCGCAGAATGTTGAGAATTTGATTTTAAATTTCGTACTAAAGCGGGATCCGTTCTGATCAGTCAACCAGTCAGTTAATCAAGAGCAGCGTAGAACCTGGCGCGTGAGTACATCAGGTCAATTTACCATACCCTACTAGATATGGGAACTTCGGGAACTCAGAATTTGGATGAACACAAAGGGAGGATGTACACGTGATTTGCTTCCTAAAACTGCCAGTTTGGAAAAATATATCGGTAAAAAATATCAACACCCAGTGGGAGTATTAAGATCGCATACAGGTAATAGGAAAATGTTCCGAGTGAAACTATATCAACGTGATAATTTTTAGTGTTTTACAGTTAGCAGTGTATATTACCACTGTCAACGGCTTTAATAAATGCTATATATTTATTACGACATGTTTGTTTACGAAAGGAAAAAACAAAATTCTGACAACTGCTCACATATATGCCGAGTTGACGTAACTAAACTACCTAGAGTTAAGTGGACTTTTGAAAAATAATATTAGAATCCGTAAAACTTTTGATTAGAAAAATGGTTAACAACACCAGTTCTAAATAGGTCAGCCCTAACAACCTGTTTTTCGCATGGTACATTTCCAAGATAATGTACTGTAGAGCTTTTAAATCTTTGCCTACATTCATGAACTCTTGCCACCTGGTTTTTATAGAAGATATACAAGTAGAATGGCTAGTATGTTTTAAGATAATACTTGACAGAAGTTTGCAAGAATTCAGATGTCTGACCACAACTATATTAATAACGACCTCAAAAGATTCACCCTAAACCCTACTAACTGCCTTAAACAAGCTCTGTAATGCATCACAGCTCAGGAAATAATAACTGAGAACAGTACATCTCGACCTTTGTTGCTACCTTGACGTGGTGGTCGGGCTTGCCTATCGTGATGAAGCAACCGAGCTATACTGGCTGGAACAACCGTTCCTCAAGGTCCTACCATGTCAGACAGGTCGGTTGAAGAGCGGTAAGACTAAAAGCAACAAACCTAAGGTCCGAAGGCGAAGTCGTACTGCTGACTGTACAGAGGTGTGACAGCAGTAAGGTGTTTCCTTCAGACAACCAGCATGACAGCGATGCTGCCTTCCCACAAGGAGGGGTGGGGTTAGAAAAGGTCGACCCTAAAAATGCACACCTCGCCTTACCTCACGGATTTCCGTCTCCGGCGGTAAGGCCCTTTGAAGAACGGAGCTAACATGTCAAAAACCTTCCACGGAAAGGCCGTGCGCGACCGGCCTCAAGCAGTTGTCCCTTGGGCACTGCGGTCACGCTCTCAGGTCACTGAGACCGCCTCTAATCCAATTTCCTTTTCAGGTACCTCCAGAAGAACCCTTCCACGGTGTGGGCAACCGGGAAGTGATAACCGCCCTCATACCTCTAACAGCACCCAAGACCACTGTATTCATAATCAACCTTCCTCTTCAATTCCTATTATTCCTCCTACATCGACTTTCAACCCTAAACTTCCTCCTTCGGCTTCTTCCTCAAGTGTCACCATAGCCAACGATTCTAGTGCTCAAAACTCTGTCCCAGGTCTACTGAAACCTCGCTCCAAACTACACATTGGAGCTTTCAACGTTCGCACTCTATGTCAAATCGGTCAGCAGGCTTCCTTGGCTAAAACCCTAGAGTCTCTTTCCATTGATGTATGCTGTGTCTCCGAAACACGCATACAGGATTCCAGTGTGGTCATTCACTTGACCTCACCTCGGCAAAACGGAGAGCCAACGAGATACACCCTACGTGTATCTGGTGACCCTATGGCCCGTTCTCGTGGACTGGCAGGTGAAGGCATAGCACTAAGCATGAGGGCGGAACAAGCACTGCTAGAGTGGATCCCCATCAACAGTCGTCTATCTGCTGTTCGGCTAAACGGCTCCGTAAGAACTCGGAAGGATAGGGACACACGTCGTTGCCTTTTTGTCGTTTCTGCCTACGCTCCCACTGACTGCAGCCCCGATGAAGTGAAGGATGAATTTTACAGGAAGCTTTCTGAACTTCTTCAGAAAGCTAAACGCTCAGACATAGTACTCGTAGGGGGTGACTTTAATGCTCAGATAGGTAGCTTAAACCAAACAGAAAGGCATTTAGGTGGATATTTTAGCATTCCGGCACAGCGAACAGATAATGGTGATCGTCTGCTGCAACTATGCTCAGACAATCGCTTATTTTTAGCAAACACAAATTTTAAGCATAAGGAGAGACATCGTCTAACATGGCGACCCCCTACACCAAACCAACGATGGACTCAAATAGACCATATTGCCATCAGTCATCGTTGGAGAGGGTCGGTAGAAGATTGTCGCTCATTCTGGAGTACCTGCTTGGACTCCGATCATGCCCTAATACGGGTACGCATCTGCTTGCGCCTCACCGGACGCAAAAAAGCCACATTAAAAAGACCAATTAGAACTGAATTGAGTAACGAGAAAACCAAAAATAGGTTCCAAGAACAACTGAGTTCACACTTAAGTAGTTCTGAACACGAGGCTGACCCAGATTTTGCTTGGAAAGACATACAATCAGCTGTGGAAGCAGCAGTGACATCTATTAGCAACTTAAACCACAGAGTTTCAAAGAACCAGTGGATTTCTTCAAAGTCTATCACACTGATGGATTCTCGCAAATTCGTCCCATCAGGTTCCGAACATGATGAAGAGCGACAACAAATCAGATCTAGGTTAAGAAAAAGTTTAAGAAACGACCGTGAGCAGTGGTGGGCAACGAAAGCAAAAGAGATGGAAAAGGCGGCGACTATAGGGAACACAAGACAACTTTACAGACTAATAAAAGAAACTGGAATTAATAAGTCAAGTGTAAGTGAGATTATATCGGAAAAAGACGATACTCTCATCTGCTCTCAGTCCAGACGTTTAGAACGATGGGCGGAACATTTCAGACAACATTTCAGCTGGCCTTCAGCGACTCTACAACTACCCTCCATTCTCAGACAGCGTGAATGGAACATTGAAGTAGGTCCCCCAACTCTTGCTGAAGTTCAAAAGGCTATAGATAATCTGAAACGAGGAAGGGCAGCTGGACCAGATGGACTGGTTCCAGAAGTCTTTAAAGATGGTGGTCCAATTTCAGCGATTAGGTTGACTAATATTTTAGCTAAGATCTGGGAGTTAGACGTTATTCCATCTGACTGGTCACAATCACTTATCGTCCCAATATATAAGAAAGGGTCAAAATCATCCTGTGACAACCACAGAGGGATTAGTTTAACTAATATAATATCTAAAATACTAGCCTCGATAATTATCAGACGCCTAACTAAGACTCGTGAACTGCAAACACGAGAAAACCAAGCTGGTTTCAGACCTGGTCGTGGCTGCATCGACCACATATTCACCATTCGTCAGGTTCTAGAACACAGGCACACTTATCGGCGTCCGACGGTGGTGGTCTTTCTTGACTTAAAAGCAGCATTTGACTCGGTAGACCGCGAGGTTCTGTGGCAGTGTCTGTCATTGAAAAGCGTACCTCAGAAGTGCATAAACCTTGTGAAGGCTCTTTACTCGAACACTACTAGTCGAGTCAGAGCTTATGGCGAACTGTCATCTACTTTTGCAACCTTAAGTGGTGTCCGTCAAGGATGTCCACTTTCCCCATTTTTGTTTAACTTCATCATAGACCTACTGATGGAAATAACTTTCTCGTCGACTGAGTTCTCGGGTATTGTTCTCTTTCGAGGAGGTCCACTTGTCGACTTAGAATACGCAGATGACATAGTCCTGTTTGGCGAAGACGCTGACAAAATGCAGAGTCTTCTGGTAGCACTGAGCAACAATGCCAGGATGTTTGGAATGCGCTTCTCTCCCTCGAAATGCAAGTTGTTGCTTCAGGACTGGTCTGCGTTAACACCTGAACTAAGGATAGGGAGTGAAGTAGTCGAACGCGTTGACAACTTCACTTATCTTGGAAGTCTGATCAGCCCTAATGGGTTGGTATCGGACGAAATCTCAGCACGGATTCGAAAAGCTCGTTTGGCTTTTGCCAACTTACGTCACCTGTGGCGAAGGCGAGATATCCGTCTATCAATAAAAGGACGAGTATACTGCGCGGCAGTCCGTTCTGTTTTACTTTACGGTAGCGAAACATGGCCATTAAGAGTAGAAGACACTCGCAAGCTGCTAGTATTTGACCACAGATGACTTAGAAATATTGCTGGCGTCTGCTGGGATAATCGGGTAAGTAATAGTGAGGTTAGACGCAGGGTATTAGGAAAGGATGGTAAATCAGTTGATGAGGTTATGAATCTTCATCGACTGAGATGGTTGGGCCACGTGTTACGTATGCCTGAACACCGATTACCACGACGTGCAATGCTATCCGGTGTTGGGGATGGTTGGAAGAAAGTTAGGGGCGGCCAAACCAAAACGTGGCATCAGTGCTTGAAGTCACTAACTTCTAGT